ACCAAACCAAGCTGGTGCTCAATAGTTTCTAATCAAGGCTGATAACACGTGAGGTCAGGGACGGGAGGCGACAGAAGGACCACAGTTCGGCCCAGAAGCAGCAAAGGGCACCAAACCAAGCTGGTGCTCAATAGTTTCTAATCAAGGTTGATAACACATGAGGTCAGGGACGGGAGGTGACAGAAGGACCACAGTTCGGCCCAGAAGCAGCAAAGGGCACCAAACCAAGCTGGTGCTCAATAGTTTCTAATCGAGGTTGATAACACGTGAGGTCAGGGACGGGAGGCGACAGAAGGACCACAGTTCGGCCCAGAAGCAGCAAAGGGCACCAAACCAAGCTGGTGCTCAATAGTTTCTAATCGAGGTTGATAACACGTGAGGTCAGGGACGGGAGGCGACAGAAGGACCACAGTTCGGCCCAGAAGCAGCAAAGGGCACCAAACCAAGCTGGTGCTCAATAGTTTCTAATCAAGGTTGATAACACATGAGGTCAGGGACGGGAGGTGACAGAAGGACCACAGTTCGGCCCAGAAGCAGCAAAGGGCACCAAACCAAGCTGGTGCTCAATAGTTTCTAATCAAGTCTGATAACACGTGAGGTCAGGGACGGGAGGCGACAGAAGGACCACAGTTCGGCCCAGAAGCAGCAAAGGGCACCAAACCAAGCTGGTGCTCAATAGTTTCTAATCAAGGCTGATAACACGTGAGGTCAGGGACGGGAGGCGACAGAAGGACCACAGTTCGGCCCAGAAGCAGCAAAGGGCACCAAACCAAGCTGGTGCTCAATAGTTTCTAATCAAGGTTGATAACACGTGAGGTCAGGGACGGGAGGCGACAGAAGGACCACAGTTCGGCCCAGAAGCAGCAAAGGGCACCAAACCAAGCTGGTGCTCAATAGTTTCTAATCAAGGTTGATAACACGTGAGGTCAGGGACGGGAGGTGACAGAAGGACCACAGTTCGGCCCAGAAGCAGCAAAGGGCACCAAACCAAGCTGGTGCTCAATAGTTTCTAATCAAGGTTGATAACACGTGAGGTCAGGGGCGGGAGGTGACAGAAGGACCACAGTTCGGCCCAGAAGCAGCAAAGGGCACCAAACCAAGCTGGTGCTCAATAGTTTCTAATCAAGGTTGATAACACATGAGGTCAGGGACGGGAGGCGACAGAAGGACCACAGTTCGGCCCAGAAGCAGCAAAGGGCACCAAACCAAGCTGGTGCTCAATAGTTTCTAATCAAGGTTGATAACACATGAGGTCAGGGACGGGAGGCGACAGAAGGACCACAGTTCGGCCCAGAAGCAGCAAAGGGCACCAAACCAAGCTGGTGCTCAATAGTTTCTAATCGAGGTTGATAACACGTGAGGTCAGGGACGGGAGGTGACAGAAGGACCACAGTTCGGCCCAGAAGCAGCAAAGGGCACCAAACCAAGCTGGTGCTCAATAGTTTCTAATCAAGGTTGATAACACGTGAGGTCAGGGACGGGAGGCGACAGAAGGACCACAGTTCGGCCCAGAAGCAGCAAAGGGCACCAAACCAAGCTGGTGCTCAATAGTTTCTAATCAAGGTTGATAACACATGAGGTCAGGGACGGGAGGCGACAGAAGGGCCACAGTTCGGCCCAGAAGCAGCAAAGGGCACCAAACCAAGCTGGTGCTCAATAGTTTCTAATCAAGGTTGATAACACATGAGGTCAGGGACGGGAGGTGACAGAAGGACCACAGTTCGGCCCAGAAGCAGCAAAGGGCACCAAACCAAGCTGGTGCTCAATAGTTTCTAATCAAGGCTGATAACACGTGAGGTCAGGGACGGGAGGCGACAGAAGGACCACAGTTCGGCCCAGAAGCAGCAAAGGGCACCAAACCAAGCTGGTGCTCAACAGTTTCTAATCGAGGTTGATAACACGTGAGGTCAGGGACGGGAGGCGACAGAAGGACCACAGTTCGGCCCAGAAGCAGCAAAGGGCACCAAACCAAGCTGGTGCTCAATAGTTTCTAATCAAGGCTGATAACACGTGAGGTCAGGGACGGGAGGCGACAGAAGGACCACAGTTCGGCCCAGAAGCAGCAAAGGGCACCAAACCAAGCTGGTGCTCAATAGTTTCTAATCAAGGTTGATAACACATGAGGTCAGGGACGGGAGGTGACAGAAGGACCACAGTTCGGCCCAGAAGCAGCAAAGGGCACCAAACCAAGCTGGTGCTCAATAGTTTCTAATCGAGGTTGATAACACGTGAGGTCAGGGACGGGAGGCGACAGAAGGACCACAGTTCGGCCCAGAAGCAGCAAAGGGCACCAAACCAAGCTGGTGCTCAATAGTTTCTAATCGAGGTTGATAACACGTGAGGTCAGGGACGGGAGGCGACAGAAGGACCACAGTTCGGCCCAGAAGCAGCAAAGGGCACCAAACCAAGCTGGTGCTCAATAGTTTCTAATCAAGGTTGATAACACATGAGGTCAGGGACGGGAGGTGACAGAAGGACCACAGTTCGGCCCAGAAGCAGCAAAGGGCACCAAACCAAGCTGGTGCTCAATAGTTTCTAATCAAGGCTGATAACACGTGAGGTCAGGGACGGGAGGCGACAGAAGGACCACAGTTCGGCCCAGAAGCAGCAAAGGGCACCAAACCAAGCTGGTGCTCAATAGTTTCTAATCAAGGCTGATAACACGTGAGGTCAGGGACGGGAGGCGACAGAAGGACCACAGTTCGGCCCAGAAGCAGCAAAGGGCACCAAACCAAGCTGGTGCTCAATAGTTTCTAATCAAGGTTGATAACACGTGAGGTCAGGGACGGGAGGCGACAGAAGGACCACAGTTCGGCCCAGAAGCAGCAAAGGGCACCAAACCAAGCTGGTGCTCAATAGTTTCTAATCAAGGTTGATAACACGTGAGGTCAGGGACGGGAGGTGACAGAAGGACCACAGTTCGGCCCAGAAGCAGCAAAGGGCACCAAACCAAGCTGGTGCTCAATAGTTTCTAATCAAGGTTGATAACACGTGAGGTCAGGGGCGGGAGGTGACAGAAGGACCACAGTTCGGCCCAGAAGCAGCAAAGGGCACCAAACCAAGCTGGTGCTCAATAGTTTCTAATCAAGGTTGATAACACATGAGGTCAGGGACGGGAGGCGACAGAAGGACCACAGTTCGGCCCAGAAGCAGCAAAGGGCACCAAACCAAGCTGGTGCTCAATAGTTTCTAATCAAGGTTGATAACACATGAGGTCAGGGACGGGAGGCGACAGAAGGACCACAGTTCGGCCCAGAAGCAGCAAAGGGCACCAAACCAAGCTGGTGCTCAATAGTTTCTAACCGAGGTTGATAACACGTGAGGTCAGGGGCGGGAGGCGACAGAAGGACCACAGTTCGGCCCAGAAGCAGCAAAGGGCACCAAACCAAGCTGGTGCTCAATAGTTTCTAATCAAGGTTGATAACACGTGAGGTCAGGGACGGGAGGCGACAGAAGGACCACAGTTCGGCCCAGAAGCAGCAAAGGGCACCAAACCAAGCTGGTGCTCAACAGTTTCTAATCAAGGTTGATAACACGTGAGGTCAGGGACGGGAGGCGACAGAAGGACCACAGTTCGGCCCAGAAGCAGCAAAGGGCACCAAACCAAGCTGGTGCTCAATAGTTTCTAACCGAGGTTGATAACACCTGAGGTCAGGGGCGGGAGGCGACAGAAGGACCACAGTTCGGCCCAGAAGCAGCAAAGGGCACCAAACCAAGCTGGTGCTCAATAGTTTCTAATCAAGGTTGATAACACGTGAGGTCAGGGACGGGAGGCGACAGAAGGACCACAGTTCGGCCCAGAAGCAGCAAAGGGCACCAAACCAAGCTGGTGCTCAACAGTTTCTAATCAAGGTTGATAACACGTGAGGTCAGGGACGGGAGGCGACAGAAGGACCACAGTTCGGCCCAGAAGCAGCAAAGGGCACCAAACCAAGCTGGTGCTCAACAGTTTCTAATCGAGGTTGATAACACGTGAGGTCAGGGACGGGAGGCGACAGAAGGACCACAGTTCGGCCCAGAAGCAGCAAAGGGCACCAAACCAAGCTGGTGCTCAATAGTTTCTAATCAAGGTTGATAACACGTGAGGTCAGGGACGGGAGGCGACAGAAGGACCACAGTTCGGCCCAGAAGCAGCAAAGGGCACCAAACCAAGCTGGTGCTCAACAGTTTCTAATCAAGGTTGATAACACGTGAGGTCAGGGACGGGAGGCGACAGAAGGACCACAGTTCGGCCCAGAAGCAGCAAAGGGCACCAAACCAAGCTGGTGCTCAATAGTTTCTAACCGAGGTTGATAACACGTGAGGTCAGGGGCGGGAGGCGACAGAAGGACCACAGTTCGGCCCAGAAGCAGCAAAGGGAGGAGGGTGAGGCAGATCACCCACAGACTAGGGCCCCAGGGCCTTAGCACATGACTTCACTTTCTACCGAGCAAGGGTTGCGACATCATTCACTGTCAGTGCATTGCTGTCATCGCCTAGTCAGTCCTCCAAACAAAGGAACCCAAAACTCTGCACTTTTTTCTGACACATATATTTTCCCTAAAAGTGAAGTGAGAGTGTTAGTCACTCAGTAGTGTCCAACTCTTTGTGACCCCATGGACTATATAGCCTACCAGGCTCCTCTGCCCATGAGATTCTCCGGGCAAGAATACTTGAGTGGGTAGCCATTTCCAGAGGGTCTTCCCCACTCAGGGATCAAACTGTCTCCTGCACTACAGGCAGATTCTTTACTGTCAGAGGCACCAGGGGAGCCCCATATATTTTTCCTAAACTCTATATATGTTTTTTCTTCCCATTAAGATCGTTAGCTCTTTAAATTAACAGCCCCATAAATCTACCTCTATTGCATTTCTTCTCAGTGAAGACATGTTCAGAGGATGCTGTAGATTTGCAAAAGAACAATGTTAATTGACTGAATTTTTTTCTCTAATATTAAACCAAGAGCATTTCTATGTGGATTATATCATAACTCAGAGAAACAGTGTCACCCCAAATATTACCTGACAATATGGAGATTCTCTGTTTGGAAATTCTGAATATCCAAGGGTTCCTGTGTTGGTGCAGACATCAGTTAAATTGGGACCAGCATCACCAGTTACATCAGTTGATGTTGTAAGCCCACATGCTGAACTGTGAGCTTCATAGTTTGGAAGGTTCTGTAATGGCTGTACACAGAAAAGAATGGGGAGAAATAAGATGCTACTGTATCTTATGTCTAAAGTAATACAATTCTGACAAATGTAAGTTAGGTTGTGACATATTATGACATATTTGGTCAAAGAAGACCATTTGAAAGCTGACTGAGGAATAAATAAATATATTATACTTCTCAAAACAAGATTACATTCAATTATTTTATATAATCATTGACATTAATTACAAAGTATCTGAGCAAACTAGTAATAGAAGAAATTTTCCCACAATTAACAAAGGGTAGCTCCATAAAACCCAAGTTAACATCATAATTAATTGTGAAATATTTCAGGCTCTCCCCCTGAATTTGGGAGTAACACAAGATATTCACTTTCACAGCTTCCATTCAATGTTACATTGGAGGTCTTAGCCAGTGCATTGTTGGCAAAACGAAAATGAAGTTATAAAATTTGAAAAAATAATAATGATATGATTGTGTTTATAGAAAATCCAAAAGAACCTACAGACAGAATGTTTGAATAAGTGAATTAATGAGGTCAGTAAATACAAGATAAGTATACAAAAGTCAAAAAATTTGGAGCTGTCAGTATAAACTCATGCTCATAAAATACAAATATAGATGATCTCATAGAGAAGTATCTATAGATATGTGTGTCTACACAGGTTACTATGTGCACATATATTTCCTTCCTTTGTCAGCTGAGGAGACCTAGAAGCAACAACACAGTTGCAGGAACAAGCTCCCAGATCTTGGTTTCTGATACCACACTCTTACTTAGTTAAAAGAAATGAGGAATCTCTGGAGAAATGGCTAATGATAGGGCTGGGGTGGAAATTTACAAGATGAGCCTGGAGCATCTTTTAATATCAGAGATTAAGGAAATCCTCCCATGCTTCACCAAAAAATAATAATAATGATGATGACAGGTGTATGTCAGTATGTCAAAGTAACATAGGAATCAACTGAAAGAGCTCTCAATGGCCAAAGCTATTTGGAGCAAAAAAACTTAAAGTAGTACTGGATTATAACCCAAAGTAGAAAATGAACATCTGACAGTCCATACTGATATAAATGATTGAACAAATAAATAATGCAGAAGAACAGAAAGGGGGCAGTGAATAAAAACTAAAAAGTCTGAATAAAATATGGACTTTAAAAAATAACAGTGTATCAACATTGGTTCATTAATTGTAACCAATGTACCATATTAATGTAAGATATTAATAATAGGAGATACTGTTGAAGGAAACAGGTGGGATTAAGAAGTACAAACTTCCAGGTGCAAAATAAATGAGTCACAGGTATGAAAAGTGCAGTACAGGGAATATAGTCATTAAATACATAGTATCTTTAAATAGTAACATCATAAGGGGTGGTCATGTTGAAATGTATATAAAAACCAAATCACTATGTTGTCTAACAGGAAATAATATAGTGCTGTAGGTCAATTATACTTCAAAACAAACAGAAAAACTCATAAGAAAAAGAGGTCAGATTTATGGTTATCAGAGGTGGGGTCCATGGAGAGAAGGGAGAATTGGATGAAGGCAGTAAAAAGGAACAAACTTCTAGTTTAAGATAAATAAGTACTAGGGATGTGATGTACAATATGATTAATATAATTAACTCTGCTCTATATTATATATGAAAGTTAAAAAGCAAATTCTAAGAGATCTCATCACAAAAAATATAATTGTCTGTCTATATGAGATGATGGATAATCACTAAACAAATTGTAATAATCATTTAATCAGCAAGTAGAGCAAATCATTATGCCATACAACTTAAACTTATGTGATGCTGTATGTCAATTATATCTGAATGAAGCTGGAAGAAAAATAGAGGAAATCAGGTACTAGTTAGATGGGAATTCTGTTTGCTGTTTTCTATGTTTAGAAAATTGTTCTATTCATTTGCTTTAAAACTGTACTATGTTTGCAGTTTTCTATAAAGCTATAACTATTTTCTAAAATAAAGTTTTTATTTTAATAATAATGTAACTATAACACAGTTACATTATTCAGGTTCTAGCACCCAGGATTTCTAAGTCTAATAAGTCCAGTACCCATCTATCCACAACCTACTAACTAAACTTGCTGATACAAGAATGGGTTCTGTAGCCGAAACATTACTAATGCCATCCTGTTTTTTCAACAGAGCTAGGCAGTCCATGAAAGACATATCATTTAGGAATCTCTCAACATGCATTTTCTAGTTTCTATATGATTGTTTTGCTCTTACCAGATCTTATGCTTCTTTGATGAAGCACAATAGACTTGAATTTGAGAAAAATATATGCAGATAAATATGACAAGGATTAGAAGCTGGAAAATGCTTGGTACGTGCATATTCACCTGAGTCTTCATGGGGCAGGTAGGACAAAGGAGGAAGGGAAGGGTGTTGGGAAGATATAAGCAAAAAATTTCACAAGCCTTCAGCAAGTAGTGATCTAAAACACACTATAATGCATATAAACAATATTCTTGTACTATAACTATATAATGTGATAAATATCACTTTAGTGATAACTATAACTATAGTTGATCATGTTACAGTTTAGTATCAAAGTAGCACACTATTCAGCTTAAACTTACAATGCTATGTGTCAAATACATTCAAAGACTATAAAAACAAAAGACTTCAATTATATCTGTAATGGCTTATTTCTTAAATTTGGTGTTTGGTACATGCATGCTTATTATATTATTCTTTACGTCTTTTAAATACCTGTTGAATTCTTTTAAATAAATGAATTAAAAAGATGGGTTCAAATAAGAAAGGTTTTGGCGGTTAGGTTTTTCTTAAAGTGAGTTTAAGAGAAAAATAACTGCAGATACAGTCTTAAGAAAAAGAAGGAGAGCAATCTGTGTTACATTCTTACGGGAGTGTAAATTGTTCTGTGTAAATTTGTAATAGCTGAAAAATATTATAGAATTATTTAATTTTTTCTCACAGGATAACAAGAGTATTATTTAAATATGCTCTATAATTATATTGATTAACTATCCAATCCTAAATGGTTGTTTAAAATGTTACTGATGTTGCTAGTTCAATCTCTAATTGCCATTAAAACAATCAAGGTACGCATGTGTACAGACACTGGCCATTGAGCAGTTATAAGAAGGAATACATTTGGACATTAAAAAAATTAGTCAAGTTCTGTTTCCTAAAGGTACAATATCATGCCAAAGAAATAAAGAGAATAATAATGCAGTGACACAGAGTAAGAGAAGATATGATACACACAGACACATCAACAAATTCCTGCTGCTGCTAAGTCACTTCAATCGTGTCCAACTCCGTGCGACCCCATAGATAGCAGCCCACCAGGCTCCGCCGTCCCTGGGATTCTCCAGACAAGAACACTGCAGTGGGTTGCCATTTCCTTCTCCAGTGCACGAAGGTGAAACGTGAAAGTGAAGTCCCTCAGTCATGTCCGATTTTTTGCGACCCCACGGACTACAGCCTACCAGGCTCCTCTGTCCACGGGATTTTCCAGGCGAGAGTACTGGAGTGGGGTGCCATTGCCTTCTCCAACAAATTCCTATCGGCTTTTATTTTTTTTTTTTTTTTAATTTATTTATTTATTTTTTTTTATCACAACCATAGTGTATCTTTTTTTTTTTTTTTTACATGTATTCCCCATCCCGGTCCCCCCTCCCACCTCCCTCTCCACCCAATCCCTCTGGGTCTTCCCAGTGCACCAGGCCCAAGCACTTGTCTCATGCACCCAACCTGGGCTGGTGAACTGTTTCACCTTAGATAATATACGTGTTTCAATGCTGTTCTCTTGAAACATCCCACCCTCACCTTCTCCCAGAGTCCACAAGTCTGTTCTATACATAGGAGTCTCTTTTTCTGTTTTGCACATAGGGTTATCGTTACCATCTTTCTAAATTCCATATATATGTGTTAGTATACTGTATTGGTCTTTATCTTTCTGGCTTACTTCGCTCTGTATGATGGGCTCCAGTTTCATCCATCTCATTAGAACTGATTCAAATGAATTCTTTTTAATGGCTGAGTAATATTCCATGGTGTATATGTACCACAGCTTCCTCATCCATTCATCTGCTGATGGGCATCTAGGTTGCTTCCATGTCCTGGCTATTATAAACAGTGCTGCGATGAACATTGGGGTGCACATGTCTCTTTCAGATCTGGTTTCCTCAGTGTGTATGCCCAGCAGTGGGATTGCTGGGTCATATGGCAGTTCTATTTCCAGCTTTTTAAGAAATCTCCACACTGTTTTCCATAGTGGCTGTACTAATTTGCATTCCCACCAACAGTGTAAGAGGGTTCCCTTTTCTCCACACCCTCTCCAGCATTTATTGCTTGTAGACTTTTGGATAGCAGCCATCCTGACTGGTGTGTAATGGTTCACCATTGCAACAAAAAGAATAAAATACTTAGGAGTATATCTACCTAAAGAAACAAAAGACCTATACATAGAAAACTATAAAACACTGATGAAAGAAATCAAAGAGGACACAAACAGATGGAGAAATATACCGTGTTCATGGATTGGAAGAATCAATATTGTCAAAATGGCTATACTACCCAAAGTGATCTACAGATTCAATGCAATCCCTATCAAACTACCAACGATATTTTTCACAGAACTAGAACGAATAATTTCACAATTTGTATGGAAATACAAAAAACCTCGAATAGCCAAAGTAATCCTGAGAAAGAAGAATGGAACTGGAGGAATCAATCTGCCTGACTTCAGACTATACTACAAAGCCACAGTCATCAAGACAGTATGGTACTGGCACAAAGACAGAAATATAGATCAATGGAACAGAATAGAAAGCCCAGAGATAAATCCACGAACCTATGGTCACCTTATCTTTGACAAAGGAGGCAAGGATATACAATGGAAAAAAGACAACCTCTTTAATAAGTGGTGCTGGGAAAACTGGTCAACCACCTGTAAAAGAATGAAACTAGAACACTTTCTAACACCATACACAAAAATAAACTCAAGATGGATTAAAGATCTAAATGTAAGACCAGAAACTATAAAACTCCTAGAGGAGAACATAGGAAAAACACTCTCCGACATAAATCACAGCAGGATCCTCTATGACCCACATCCCAGAATTTTAGAAATAAAAGCAAAAATAAACAAATGGGACCTAATGAAACCTATCGGCTTTTAAATAGGCAACTTTGAGAAAATCACAGAGATTTATATTTTGTTAAAGTTTGTGTTTCTCTATATTATTACTATCACTATTCTGCAGACATTCAGTTTGTGGCAGATGAATTTGAATATTTTTGGAACTTTTGTAACTAAATAAAAATTCATTGGCCAGACCAGTTTATCTGAATCGAAAATATTTAAGAGAAGAAAATTGGGGGGTAAGTGCACTGAGAGCAGAGTAAAGTTAAAATTTTGAGCAGTTGGGGAGCTATAAATTATAGTTTATAAGCTCCTGGTAGAAGTCAGTAATCTCCAGTACACATACCTAAAATGCATTAGCTATGTTCATGGAATAAAATTTTAAATTCTATGCTCAAAACTTAAAAGAGATCACCATTTCATGTTCCCTAAGAAGGAAAAACAGACTCCTAAATTTCTTCTTTTTTTACGTAGATATCAGTTGCTCCTCTGATCCATTGGTGAAAACAGACCTCAACTGAAAAAAATTTCGCTACCATTATGTACAAATATCCAGATGTAATGTGAGATACTCAGTGATGAAAATGCGTGCTCTTTATTCAAAAATGTCATCACTGCCTAGGGAAATCTTCAAGATGATTAATTCCTTAGTAAAGGGACCTTTTTATCTGAGTATCTTTACACTGTGAAGACCTAATAACATAGCTGCAAGGCTCAAAGAGCCATGAAGAACATCTTTAGGGGAAAGAGTGCTGATCTAGGATCAAGAGAACAATTTCCCGGCCTTGTAACTTCCTTCTTAGTGCAGGGGGACAAAGATATTTTTCCTCAAAGAATAAAATCGTCCATTCAAACTTATACTGATTTCATTCAACACATTTCCATTTGTCTCTAGTATCAGTACCTCTCTAGTCAGAGGCAAAGTTTTATAAAAGGCAATCCCAAAACATACAGTCCTAAATTATTTCTTCTAAAAACATAAGCGATAGTCAAATAATATGGTATATAATTGAATTCTACTATTTCCCTCGAATATAATTCTCTACTAAAAAAGAAATTCACAAGTAGTTAACTAGAGGCAAGTCTTTAACTAAAGGACTTGCTAGATAATTTGCTTCCTGTACCAAGACTTCACTTAAAGGATCATGTTCTAACTTTCAAAAATATATGAAATTTTTGATCTCTGACAAATGTACATATTACACTAAAAGTCCAGGCAATTAATACAAAAATCTATATATCACATTTTAAAAACATAATTTGTTAATGCAATCAACCACAGATTCGTCATCTTATAGTTGAGTTACAATAACTGTAGAGAATTATTTGATCAGTTTAATAAATTGTTACACCCTAAATTGCTAATACCTTAGATTAGTGAGAATTAAATTTCTTAATAATTCATATATTGATATACAGAAAAAACACAGGTTTCCTAATTAACAAGTAGTAATAGAATAGCTGAAAATTGTTTTTTCATGTAGAATTTTGATTAAGAATTCCTTTTGGAGAAGAACTAGGTTGTAATAAAAAAAAAAATAAAGTTGTATTCTTGTTGGAAACAAGACTGTGAACTGCCAGAACACACCACAGTGATGCCACCAATACTCACTGGCTGGTTTCCAGAGTCTTCAATATTCACTACGTATTTCCCACGTTTTCTGTCCATTCCTGAAGTGTCAAAATCACCAGCTTATCTCCAGAAACATTTTTCAGCCTGTTCATTGCTCTTTATACCTGGACCTGGAGAGATAATTGAGTTGATTAATATCCACTATGAGACATCGGTGCTAATGTGGATTAAACCAATAATAATTATTCTTTAGGTGGAATCCACCTTACAGGAAGAAGTAGAGTGTTAGGCAATTATATGATGATACAAGAAAATCAATCCCACCTCTGTGATGACACCTTCAATACTATGCCACCAGACAGCTTGTCTAGTATAAAGAAACTGCAATTATACAATTCTTCCTTCTTTCTCTTATCACATCATTTCACAGAACTCTTCCATCTGACTTCAGGAACAGCCCAAGATAGAATTCTGAAATAAGTGAATGTTGCTGTTGCTTCTTTACCAGCCAGACACGAACATCTTTCCACTTTTACTGGCAACAACCTTTAGGTATTTGGAACCCTCTGCTCATCAAGTCTTGACCTTCTCGGGTTTCTTCCCAACTTTAAAACTTTCCCAATCTATTCTCTTTCTCTGATTCTAGAAAAAGTTAATATAATCTGATTTATACTTCTGGAAAAAATATATATAATTTGGCTGATACTCCTCCAAGACCCAGTCTGACACCTATGGCTAATCTGATGACTGAATCTCTGTGAGTATATTCACCAGAGTCTCCTTCTCTCCCCTTTTTGTGAAATCTATTCAATATTTTGCATAGTTACAAAAAAAGATTAATTCTGATTTTCCTTACAATTTAGTAATAGGACACTTGGGTAGGGAGGCTTTTCTAACTTCTGCAAATTATACTCAAATGCAATGGACTTTTTTCTTATCTGTAGAAATATCTTTAGAGGGCTCTATACAATTAGCAAGAGTTAAGAAATCATTTTTAACCTCAAATAAAAAGTTATCAATCAGTTCCCAAAACATGTTTCTAGGGAATCCCAAATAAACTGGTATAGAAGTTTGTTTACGAAGAATAAATAACCTAAAAGTTTCAAAATATCTCTTCAGTTTGTAATTAGTCCATAGTTAATTTCTTATAAACGAAGCAACAAAAACAAGGTACTTACACTTTTTTGTTGAAAATGTCTCATGGAGCACTTTTTACCTGGCCAGATATCTATCAGGTTTCAAAGACAAGAATTACCTGATAATAGAGCTGAAAGAGGGCTGGGAGATCTTGTCATTCAACTTTGTCACTCTAAGGTTGAGAAAATTTGTATCCAAAGAGAGGAAGTGATAAGACCAGTTATGTGGCAGAAAGCAGTTTCTTTTCGGTCTAATACTCTCTCTATAATTAATTAATAGTGACTTTGTAGAAAGATGGACAGCCTAGTAGGAATTCAAGCAAATGTCCTTTCGACAATAAAATGAAACAAAGGTTTCAAAGACGTGGACTTGGAAAGGATTCTAGATATGATGCCTGTTGTATACCTGAAGCCATCTGAGACTTACTGAACCAGACTTTCAGGGGCAGAGGCTGGGAGCCTGAGTTTTTGGCCAAAGGTCAAGTAATCTTTATTTGAACAACGTTTGAGAAATATTTTCCTAACCAATGATTCCAAGCAGGTGCATGGAGTGTCTTCACATCTTTATGGAAGAAAATTGTGTCTATGAAGAAACTTCAGTTTTTTCAAATTAAAAAATGGGTAAGTTTTAAATTGTTTATTCCTTCAATAGCACCACTGAATCTCTGTTATAAGCAAGCACTGTGCAAGAGGCTGAGCACTCAGTGGTGAACAACAGTCAAGACTCCTGCTCCATTGGAATAGAGTAAAATATATAATGATTATGTCTTAAAATGTTTCTGATCATCTCTATAAAGTTCACTTATAAATGCATTCTTTAGATGCAAGCTTCCATTGGAACCCACAGAAACACAGTAAAACGGCCTTTGGATGTAGAGAATGTAAAAGGTGTGGAAAAAAACTAGGAAAGGGATTTATTCTAGGGAGGAGAGAAAGACAATGCTTTACCCCTCCACGATGAAATTCAGGCAATGAAACTATGGCTTCTATGACAGTATAAATAGAGTGATCATGTAGTTTATCACTCCAAACCAAAATACTTCTGAAAGCAAAAGGAGGCAGTGTTAATAATTTAATTTCACAAAGACAGTACTATCCCCTATAAGCCAGAATATATGGTCACTTAGCAATACGGAATCCATGCAAGTTAGGAGACTCACTAGTACTAATCATGACCACTGGATAAGTCAATGAATTTAAAAATAAATTTAATACATTTAGTGAATCGATTTAATACAACTAGTGAACAAACAATAATTTGATTAGAATACACAGTTTACTTGAACTTAAGAAAAAATCTAGCATGGCACTGCGGTACTAACACATACATGCGTGTGTGTTCAGTCTTATCTGACTCTTTGCAACCCCACAGACTGTATCCCACCAGCCTCCTCTGTCCATGGGATTTCCCAGGCAAGAATACTGAAATGGGTGGCCACTCATCCTGGAAGGGATCTTCCCAACCCCAGAGATCAAACTCAAGTTTCCTCTATTACAGGCAGATTCTTTATCATTTGAGCCACTTGGGAAGCCCCCACTAACACCTACACACATATTTAAGTTCTCCAGAATGACTGAGAAGGTAAAATTCCAGAGTGTATGTCACCAACAAAATAATATCAAAATTCCACCTGGATTGTCATTAGCTGATAAACTGTTACACAAGCCAACGTAAATCGTTATGAACTTAAAGTTTCAGCATAAAATTAGAACTTTATTTTTCCAAAGAATACTTTCTGTGCTTTTTTCACATCACAGACCAACAGCTAAAGTGGAACACACCCGGATTACCACAACACACAATACAGGTAACTCTCATTGGTATGCCAAATATCTCCTAGAAAATCTCTCTAATATCTGTAGCATTTTAAGCCAAAAACAATTTTGAAAGTCTATATTAATTGAGAGTGGTTGACAGTCCTCTAGCAACTGGTAATTTTTTTAGCCCAAAGAATGCAGAGCCTATTAAAATGTCATCTGTTATAAAATGAACCACACTGTAGTCTTAAAGATTACAACAAAATTAATTTATTGATCAGGTCACTCATGTCAAATACTTACATGACTGAAATTTCACCATGATCAGATACTAATCAAAATGCCTTTGTATTTCTGCTTTGGTCTTTCAGTATGATGACAACTAATTTGACAGATCCAACTCTGTCATCTTTAGCAATTTTTTTTTTTTAGACCAGGACATTGGTATAGTTCATTATGTTGTGTTGAGTGACTAAAATAATAACAGAGAATAGATTTCAAATGCTTCAGTAAATATTTTAGTTAGATCTGTATTCCCTATTAATTTAAACTTGATAAGGAAATCATTCAAATGCAAAAAAAAAGTTGTAAAAGAAGTTTTTAGGTATTAGTCAAAATCAAACCAATGCAGTTATTAGGGAAAATGCTGATTGAAACCACCCAACCTGGCCAGGCACCACAGTAACCACTTGCATGAGTTATTTTACAATAGAAGGTCCTGGTAAGGAACAGGGAACAAGCCACCAGCAACTGGAAGAATCTGGGAAAGGTCAAAAGGAGAAACCATGTGTCCTGCCATCTCCCAGAATCCTTCTCACTGGAATCCATCTTGGCTGAGGACTGCGTGTGCCACAAGGATTAACCGTGAGTCAGAACGATTGGCCAGAAACAACCCAGAAACTGATCCCATCATCAGAAAAAAGCAGTGCAAAGAAGCAGTTCTCCTGGGTTGCCTCACCCTGCAGCTCTCCACCTGGGTTCCTCTTCCCAATAAAGCCTCTTGCTTTGTCAGTACATGTGTCTCCTCGGACAGTTCATTTCTGAGCATTAGACAAGAGACCACTCTCAGGCCCTGGAAGGGGATCCCCTTCCTGCCATACAATGACTATGCGAAAAAAGTGATTGAAGTGGGAGAGTAAAAAAATGAAAACTATCTGCACCTTTGTTCGAGAAGCTACCTCTCTAGCCCCTCCCAACAAAAAACAAAAGCTTAAATAAATTAAGAGGTTATTTTCCTTCCATAAATAGAAAAATACAGGAGGGCAGTTCAAGTGTAGATGAGAGATAAGCAAACGAAAGTTTCATCCCTTGCTGAAGAATGTCACTAGGGCACTGAATGAGCGCTGCTCCACACCGCGGTGGTTTCTGACGCAACAACATCTTGTTATTAATATTATTGACATTTCTTCTGAAGGTATACCTCTTCCAGGACATACCTCACCAATCATATCTAATCCTCCTAATACCTTCCTGAATTAAATATCATTACCCCATTTTCATGATGAAATACCAAAGCATTTAGTGATATTTAATAAGGTTCAAGATAGGTCTGTGGCTCTGCATTCATTCAACCCAAGAAGTAGTTATTAAATACTTATCACACTCACTGTGTCACTTTAGATGCTGAGAAAATCTGGGAGATGAAGGAGAGGGACAAGTATTTATAAGCTTAATCTCTTATGAATAGAAAAAAAAATTTAAAAACAACCAGAGTCTTGCAACAGGCCTCAGATATATGGAGGCAGCACGGTTGTTTACTAGCAGAATGAAGGGAGTGTCATCAATGCTTGGAGCAGACTTGCCTTCTAGGGAGAGGATGCTGGAATTTAGACCCCGTTTATAGTACAGGCTTAGAAATTCCTGGGCAGAAGGTAAGACTTACAAGTTTTGCAGACTGGATCTCTGTCTGGGGTTCAAGAAAATGATCAGCATGAGAGAAATCAAAGAAAAATATCAAGATTTTTCAACGTGTTCAATTCAATTGGAGAATGATCCTGAGTTTGAGTATTCATTGCCAACTGTGTCATGATTTGCCTACAGGTATCAGTGCAGTAGCACCTAGATAGATGGGATTCCAGTCCTAAGGGATGGAGATGAGGCTTCCAGTCCTGTTGGTGAACCCCTGGAAAATAAGCTGATTGCTAGAACAGGACTTCAGAAAGGAGATCCATTTCATTGTCGCTGCTGTTATGGTGAGAATTTTAAAGGTCTATTCTCATCCCACT